TAACAGTCGACTCATGTTCAGAGGACAATATTCACAGAGGACAATTTTAAAGCACTCCACTCCATTATCTATCTTTTACTTTCTAAGTCCTCTTCCACAATATTTCCTGATTGAGTAGAGAATGATAGAAACCACATCAATGACTGAGCCCTCACAATTGTGCTTCATATTTTGATCACTTATGAGTCCTGGCATTAACTAATGCCAGCTCCAAAAAATAATCTCTAAAAAAGGTAAAGAACAGCACAAATACATGGGTATAAATATAAATATATAGAAGGAAGTTTGACAATATGACAATTTAGTAAAATGACAGTAGGAACCATAGTTAGATCTATGACATCTCAAGCCATGAGTTCCTGGCCAGGTTTATAGTACCAGGCATGAATTCCGTCCCAAAGATAAAGCCTCACATCCAATCAGACATCACTTAAGTTACCCTATAACAATTGTGACATTATTGCATTACTAGGCAGATCTGGTCTGGTACATCTGTATTGTAGCATGTGAGATCAATGCAGGATAAGAGCATTATGGGCTAAATCAGGAACTGAACATTGAAAAATAGAAATGAAAAGTATACCCCCATAGTGAATTGCAGACATCAGTATGCTAAGTAGAGAGATTCAGTTCAGATTCCTCTGCATCTTGTTTCCCCACTTGGCAGTGCCCTATATATTGCTCATAATCAACATATCTTCCTCCAATAAATATGCTCAGGTCATTCTAAATCCTCACAAGCATTCTCTCTCTCTCTCTCTCTCTCTCTCTCTCTCTCTCTCTCTCTCTCACACACACACACACACACACACACACACAATCACACCAAACCTCACACACACACACACACAATCACACCATACACACACACACACACACACACACACACACAATCACACACACAAAGTTGCCTTATTCCAGTGACTTACTTTGTTAGTCTAGTCATTAATGATGCCATCGAGCCTTGATTCATACCTCCATATATATTTCAGCCAGTAGGTTGCTGTATTGATGGGATTGTTTCTTTCCAACAACATATAAAATACTATTCTCCCATCTCTGTCATCAAATTTTTCTGTCTTTCTAGTACATTTCACTAGAAGGCAGGTATTTACAGGAAACACCTCCAGATTCCTGTATTTGTGTGAAAAATTAACCCAGGAAATATTCCTATCCTTGCAACTTGACAGAGGATATCTCCTCATGGCCTCCATGGTAACACTATGTGGTAATGAGTTTGTTAATGAACTTGATTTTATCAACTATTTATTTGTGTATTTGCCTCAAGCATTATATTTAATGCTATAAATAGTTAAATTTTTCTTAGTGAAGCTTTCTGTGGCTGCTCTCAGAGATGTGAAGAAAATCAAGCAGACCCTGTAACAACGGTATGTAATTGACACTTTATTTCTCACTGTATACAGTTCTATATGGATCATGGTTTGAACATGTCCGTGGATGGCTGTCCTGGAGAGAATGGGACAACTTCCTGGTGCTCTACTATGAAGACATGAAAAAGGTGAGCATCAGTCTTACAGTCACCACACATTGAAAAACTGGATCCAAGTAATGAAGGTTATTGAGAACTGTGATTTTTTGTTTGTTCTGACATTTTTAAAATTATCTTTTATTGATTAAAAGATATTTAAATGCAAATCCATTATAATCATATATACCCTCTCCCTGAGGCCTTCCAGATCCTCTATGCCCCATTACCCACCAAACTCTAAAGACTTTCTTTGAAAATAATCTAGTACTACATGTATCTCAAATCAATAAAAGAATATATAATAGAATGAAATATGGAATAATATGCTGGATAATTGTGTGTCAACATGTCACAAGCAAGAATCGCCTGAAAGGAGGGAACTTTAATTATAAAAATTCCTCCAAAAGTTTGAAGGCAAATCTGTGAGGCATTTTATTAATCATTGATTAAAAGGGGAGGGCCCATTCCCTTGTGAGAGCTGGTATACTTGTGTTCTTTAACAATACAGGTATGTATAACATGGTGAACAAGCCAACAAGCAGCACGTTTCTATTGTCTCAAAATCAGCATCAGCCACCAGGGTCCTGTGATGTTTAATTACTTGTCTCAACTTCCTCCAATGTTTAAGATTGCTGTGTATGTGTAAGACAAATGATGTGTGATAAAACAAAATCTATTACATTGAAGTTAGACAAGTCAAACCAACAAAAGGAAAAGAGTCTGATTGAAAGAACAATGATCAGTAACCTACTCATTCACTCATTCAGGAACCTCATGAAAACACTAAACTTGAGACAATGATATAGACACAGAGTATGTGGGACAAACCCAGCCAAGATATGTCCATGCTGCTTTAGTCTCCAAGTGTTCATGTTTCTTAGTGCTCTCAATTTCCTCTTGTTTGTACAGTCTTGCATCCTCTTCTTCTGCAGGGTTCCTTTAGCTCTGAAAGGAGGACTTTGATAGAGACATCTATTTAGGTTATCTCACTTTTTGTAATGTATGGTTGTAAGTTTCTATATTTGTCCCCAAGAGGAAGTTTCTGTGTAAAGAATGCACTGTTCTATGCATATAGCAGAATATCATTAGGAGTCATTTTACAGATTTTCCCTTTTTCCTTTTTAAGGAGCATTATTTAGCTGGGCAGTGATGGTGCACACCTTTAATCCCAGCACTTGGGAAGCAGAGGCAGGCAGATTTCTGAGTTTGAGGCCACCCTGGTCTACAGAGTGAGTTCCAGGACAGCCCAGGCTATACAGAGAAACCCTGTCTCAAAAAAAAAAACAAAAAAAAATGGAAGAAAATAAAAGAAACAGCATTATTTGGTTTTGCCATAAGACCTTGGGCTATCTAGTCTTAGGTACTTGATTACACAAGCAGTTTAGGATATAGGCTCCATATCATGAAATGGGATTGAAGTCAAATCAGTTATTGGTTTGTTACTCACATAAAGCTTCGAGATACCACTAATCTAACTTATCTAGCAAGTAGTACACCACTATAGATAGAAGGATTTGTGTTTAGCTTCGTTTTTATATTTATCTTTGTGGAGCACACAAAATGCCTTTCTGTTGTAAGGAACTAGGACTTAAGGATGGAAGTTCTCTATAGGAACTAGATTGACATCTTTACACTCAGTAATTTGTATAGGTGTTTTTTGCAATGAGGGCTTGCAGTCAGTTTGTGGAGAGCAATTTATAGTCTTTGCAACAATCTGGGCTTATTGAGAGTGAGTCCCATGGAGTCCGTATGTACAAAAACTCATTTAGATGTAACCAAATCCTAGTATTGTAATTTTTCATTCATTTTTTCCTTTCTCTCTCTCTCTCTCTCTTCCATCCCTTCCTTCCTTCCTTCCTTCCTTCCTTCCTTCCTTCCTTCCTTCCTTTTTTCCTTCCTTCTTTCTTTCTTTTTTCTTTATTTCTTTACTTCTTTATTTAATTCAGTTGTTTCATCTTTGTGACAAGAGATGTCCATAATCTGGTGATTTCACTCTGACCACATTCATATACTCATAGATTTTA